TGTGTGTGTGTGTGTGTGTGTGTGTGTGTGTGTGTGTGTGTGTGTGTGTGTGTGTGTGTGTGTGTACTGTTCAAGAAGATATGTAAATAAGATGATAGTATATAAAAATGGAGTTCACTAAATTACATCCCTAACTGTTATGAAACATAAGCTAGGCAATACAAATTTTTCTTTCCACGACTATGAGTGCAGAAGATATTAAAGATAAACCAGAATTATAAATCAAAATTAAATGGCATTAAAAACTCATGATGTACAAACATATACCTTTATAGATGTGTGTACTCTGCCATGAGGCCATGCAGCTCATGATACGATATCCTATATATATACTGGAAGTCTGTGCTTTGTCATGGTTTTGGAACTACAAATAAGGCACTCATTATGATTTTGCTTATTTTTCTTCCTGCATTCATACTGTATATATTTATACCCCATTACAGTCTTGGACGATCACACTAAGCATGGCTAAGGTTTCAATGATGTCGCCGATGAGGTCGGCATAAGTGCAAGTAATCGCTGTGAGCCGAAACCTCAGGCTTCAGATTGGTCTAAACACATAGTTTCAGACATTTTGCTCTGCACTATGATCTTTATGATGTCATTGAAAGCGGGTATCTGTGATATGGTCATGTCAGGCACATTGCACTGACCAAAGAAGCCAAATGCTGTTTAAATCTTCTGTTTATGAGGGACAGCCAATCAGGAGAAAGTTGGCTTGAAGGCAGGAGAAAGAAGCTTATTGGCTTGTTTAAGCAAACGGGTGACAGCAGCACAACTAGTGTTTTATTTCCTTTGGATTAGAATTTAAAGATATTCGGTGGATGTTTTACCACTAGTTGAACTGAAGTTTCCACATGTGACTCTTGTTCTGTGCACTCTGCTGCAGTGGTCACAGTGGTTTCACTCTTCCAATAATCTCTCGACTGGCTGTGATAAAGCTCAGGATATCATGTATGCAAACTTTAATAGTTGGATTATTTGTTTTGCATAATGGGTGGGAAATCAGAGTTGCCCCTGATGCATCCATCAGAGTGTGAATGTGTGAATGTCTATTTAAAAGCACTTGTATGAATGTGTGTGTGAATAGACGAATGAGTTTTGTAGTAAGAAATTGCTTTGAGTGCTCATATTGAGTAGAAAAGCACTAAGTACCAGGCCATTTATTATTTAACGCAATAACAACAACTGTAGTTGTAGTTATTTAGAATAATAAAAAAGTAAATAATTTAAAAAAAGAAGCTCTGACTCACGCAATTGTTTTGGGATCTGTCCCCCCAAACAACAGCCAGAGACCGCTTTTTAATTCTAAGCAGGAACAAAGTCAAAGATGAGGAAAAAGGAGCATATTCATACATATAATATATGACCAGCTATATTGCTCATTGCCCTTTGGAAAATTTCAGGTTCTTATACCGGTTAAGTTGCTTTCACCAAAGCTGTACAGGAAGCAGAAACATTCTTTGACACATCCCTTTGGAAAATGGTCTGAAAAGGAGATTATGTCTGTGGGTTGTCGTTTGAAAACGCCGCCTATACGCTAGCTCCAATAAAGAAGCATTTTGACAAGGATAAAAACCACATGGAGTGCTGAAGGAGATGAAGCTCAACTATTCTGAGCTCTCAAGGCCAGTAAGGATTTGAGGATTCATCCCTGTGGATAAATGACCTCCACACCCCAGTTCCTTTATTCCTGACAGTGGATACCAAAAGAAGAAGAGGGTAGTTTCTCATTCGTGGACATCCTGTGGATCACTCATCCCTCTTTAACACTCTACATGAAAAATATTATCAGGATTAAAAAAAGCTCAGTCTTGAAAATGTAAAAATCATAGGAACAAACCTCGTGGGTAAACCTGAGACAAACAGTCCTTGTGTTTTCAAATATAGCTGTTTTTCATGTGGCCAAATCACACCCCATACTGTATTTTTAGCTCTTCCAACAAAGATCCTGGTGACAGTTACTGTATTTATTTACTCATGCATAAAATAATACCGACAGAGCGACTTCAAAGATGCACTTGTAGAGTCCGTTGGGGAAGTAATCAAACTCAGAGCGAGCAGACAGCCCAGAAGCAGGTTTTCAATCATACAGAGCAGACTAACACTGCATTATAAACATGCGGTTTGACTGCCTCAATGGAGTTTGCTGTTGTGCTCAGCACTTCTAAAGAAACACGCTGATTTGGGTGTGTGAACTGTCGATCATTGTTTTCAGTGCAGCTATTCATGTGCATATGCTGACTGGCAACATCCGGAGGACGGCGTGTTATTTTCTCTGCCGAAATAGAATCTTACAAGAAAAAGGGAGAGGAAGAGAAAATTATGGATCTGCTTATTAAACATTTCATCTCTGCTTATACATCCTCACATACAAAGTCCTGAATGATCTGGCCCTGTTCCATTTTAAGGGCCCCATAGTCCCATATTATCATAATAGAGCACCTTAGAGCTCCAGGAGTTTCCAAACATATAACAGAAGGAAGAGCCTTCAGCTGTGGAACCAGCTCCCAGTTCGGGTTGGGGACACACACATAAGCTCTATTAATACGATTATATTCAAACTTTATTTTTTCCTAAAGCTCACAGTTGGATCAGGTGGCCCTGAACCATACACTACTTATGCAGCTACAGGCTCAAGTTGCTGGGGGACCTCTCATGGGTGTTTCTCTTCCACTGCCCTCTTTTCACTCTGCATGCATTTACATAGCACTATTTCATATCATTAACTTGTCCTGGTTGTCATCTCATGCTCTTCTTTTCTGCCTCCGTTTTCCTTTTTTGTTGGGATTCTCTCTCTAAAATTTTCCCTTTATAATATGAGGCTTGGATGACTTTCATCGCAGACCAGCAGTATATGAATAACTATACCTGAACATATAAATATATCCATAGATCAATAACTTATTTTTCTTAGTAAATGTATCTTATTGTATCCATCTAAATGAATGATAAAAGTTTTAAGGTGTTCGAGCTAACAGCATCTTATCCTAGCCAGCATACTATAGCAGTTATACTTTCATAATATTAGATTTGCACTGCGGAGTACAGTCACGTTAGAAACTACACCTTCTTAATCATAAGCTTTGCATATCAGAACATAATAATACCCATCCATGGTCCTCATCAGATTCTAAAATGATTTAAATACAACTTTAGGTCAGTGCAGAAGCAGTGTGTGTAAAAAAAAAAAAAAAAAAAAAAAGTGCATGAGTCAATCTCTTACAGTCGCACAGAAAGCAGTTAATTTATCAGTCTCACAAACTGCTGTGGAAGAATTTTTGCCCACTCTTCTTTACAACGATGATTCAGTTCATTGAGCTCTCCTAGAATCCCACCACAGTTTTTCTATCAGATTGCAATCTAGAGTTTCACTGGGTCACTGCGACACCTTGATTCTTTTCTTTTTTTCAATCATTTTGTTGTAGATTTGCTGTTGTGCTCTGTTTCATGTGCTAATTTGGGACAAGCTTTAACTGTATGACACATAGCCTCACATTTACCTTCACAATACCAGGAGCTCCTGGTCGACTCAATGACTGCAAGGTGTCCAGGTCCTAAAACAAGTCCAAATCATCCCCCCCTCAACCACTGTGCTGAGCAGTTGGTGCTAATATGCTGTGTTTGGTTTTCTCTAAATATGGTTCTTTACATATGGTCATGTCTCCACTTTGGTCTCTTTTATCTGAAGGATATTGTTCCAGAAACCTTGTGGTTTGTTCAGATGCAATTTTGCCATGTTGTCTCTAGAGAGAAGAGGCTTTCCCCTGGCAACGCCTCCAAACAAGCCATACTTGTTTGCCCTTTTTCAAATTACACTGTGATGAACTTTAACATTTCACATGGTATCTGAGGCCTGTAAACGGTAGCTCTTAGATTTGTTGCAGTTTCTTTGAGCATTGCATGGTCTGACATTGGGGTGAATTTGCTGTGACGTAACTCCTGGGAAGATTTGTGACACACAACCAAATGCTCTAGACCAGAAAACAGCCAAAACCTCTGCTGTTAGAGAGGTGGTCACACCAGCTGATGTTCAGTTAACCACATGACCTACCCTCTTAATTAATATGAAATCAGTAAGGTTGTGCTTAGTTTTCTGCAAACTGAATTGTGGCTTATTTTTTTTAGGTAAATAAACCACAACACTGTATTTAACTAATTTTAGAACCTGGTGAGAATCAGATAATGTTTTTATTATCTTGTGAGGAGGTGCTTTGCTGACCCACATCCACCCATCTACATTAAAGGGACGGCTGCTCCAAGCTGGTCAAGAAGGCTCACCAGCACCTCTTCTTCCTGAGGACTCTGAGGAAGAACCACCTGTCCTCAGACATCCTGGTGAACTTCTATCGCTGCACCATCGAGAGCATCCTGACCAACTGTATAACAGTCGGGTACGGGAGCTGCTCTGCCTCGGACCGGAAGGTCAACCCAACCACAACCACTAGCACTTTATAAAGTCTCTGTAGAAAGTAGCCACATATTTCACTTATCTTAACTGCACTACTGTATAATTCTGTATAAACAATCATTCTGTGCAATACGATAATTATAATTCTACAACAGTTTACAACTGTTTGCATATTTCTGTATAGCTTTATATTTCATATTTCTGTATAGTTTCATATTTATATCCCGTTCATAGCCTGTACATAGCTTGTATACCCACTACAGCCTGTACATACTTATAGCATATTCATAACATTCCATCATACCGTGAACATTGTAACATACCCATAATAGACCCATTTTTGTACCCTCATACCAATAACAGACCCATTTCTGTAATATATCTATATACCTATATTATTGCTAGTATATATTTTGTAATATATCTATATCATGGCTAAAGCACTTCTGGATGGATGCAAACTGCATTTTGTTGCCTTGTACTTGTGACATGTGCAATAACAATAAAGTGGAATTCTATTCTATTCTTTGTCTAAGGAGCTTGGAAAGAAAAGCGCCTGGACTTCTTTGAGTTGCTTGAAGACGTTTCACCTCTCATCCGAGAAGCTTCTTCAGTTCTAAGGTCAAATGGTGGAGAGTCCCAGATTTAAACCCAGTGGCAGTTTCCCCCCAAAAGAGGGACAAAGGACCCCCTGATGATCCTCTACCTAATCACATGAGCCAAGGTGTGAAAGCGGGTGTGGGCCACAATCAGCCAGGGTTTTGGGTGAGCTCATTGTGAAACCTGGCCCCACCCTATCATGTGATTTCCTGAGGTTAGATGGCCCAGGATGTGAGTGGGCGTTAAGGCATCTGGGTAGGGAACTCAAAACTGGATTATAGATGGCAGACAGTTGGTGTCGTAAACCAGCGCCTCTGTTCAAAGATGGTCGCTCACAGTGGACGTAAATGGCTTCTTTCACTCCTCTTTCAAACCATCTGTCCTCTCTATCCAAAATGTGAACGTTGGCATCCTCGAAAGAGTGTCCTTTATCCTTTAGATGCATTCTATTCTTTCTTTGTCACATGACTGTATATGACCATATTTGACCATATTTGATTTAAAACGTTTCTGTGGTCAATCACATAAAATATTCTAACACTTTTTAAATGTAGTATGTTTAAACACCATGGAATTTATAACTCAATGAAAAAAAACTTCTAGTTGAAACTGCTACTTTGATGCTTTTGGATGATTAGAAAAATAAAACTTTAAAAAAAATCCTACATAATGGCTGAGTCACCAAACACAGAGCACTGATGTGAATTCGCCCACATTTCATTCTTGCAAGTTGGCTTTGGAGTCTCATTAAAATGTCATAAGGCTTTTTCTGGATGCGTGACTTGCTTTAGTAACCACAGATTATACGAGACTTTGAAGCAAACAGCCCGACATCTTCTGTTTTACACAAAGCAAAACCTGATACAGTATTTAAAGACGCATAAGTTTTGCATCCTTTAGTGAGTGTGGGTTGATAAAAGTTTGAAAAAAGTAAAATGTTGATCTTTTCTGAAAGAGAGACGCATTTCTGTCAGTAAACAGCCTTAGCGGTTCAAATGTTGCATCATTCATTTTAACATCCACTCTTTGCTGAGTATCACGATGCTTTAAAGGCTCAGAAATAGTTTTTATGTCATCGCTTGTCAGAAGGAAATTCAGCCTGCTTAGTGCACTCTTGCAGGGCTCCTGCTGGGAATAACAGGGAGCTTGACTGTAGCTTCACTCTGATGTTTTTCCAGGATCAGTTTTGCTTAGGAGTCAATTTTATGCATTTAAATGTGATCATTCAAACCATTTCAAACAAGAGGACGCACCAGGGGCCTGCGTCAAAGCTTCCCGGGGCCTTTCTGTGTGGAGTTTGCATGTCCTCTCTGTGCTTGCGTGGGATTTTCCTCCCACAGTCCAAGAACATGTTAGGTTAATTCTAAAATGGCCATAACTGTGGAGATAAAGTTTGGGATGAAGTAGAGTACAGCACTCTGTTATTGTGGCTTGCAGTGTAAATTTTGGTATCCTATATTTAATTACACTTTTATTTTCTTTTATTGATTTGCCTAAAACTGCAGTAAACTATATAAAAGAAAATGATGCACATAAAACCCAGGAAACTTGTACGTAACATGGATACTCCACAAACTCTTTAATTTGGAGAGATTAAATACATTTGCAAAGCAGGAGTAAGGAGAAATGAAGTATACATGCATGTAAAACACTGCAAGTTTCCATTAATGAAGTGGCACCAAATATGTATACATTTTTGCATTCATTTTTTGTAATGACTCATTAAAGTTCAGAGCACCGATGTCACATTGCTTTATGTTTTTGTTTTGAACACCTTGCTTGGCTGGGACCTTTTTTATGTGGCGTTTAGATGTCCTCCATCTCTTTTGTGGGTTTCCTCAGGCGGCTCTGGTCTCCTCCAAAAGTCCTTTCCTGCTTTCAGGTTAACTTGTTAATCTAAAGAGGCCATGCGTTGTCTGTTTTAGCCATGTGATGGTTTGGGAGCCTGTCGTGTTTATACCCTACGTTTTGCGCAACATCATCTGGGATAGGCTCCAGCTACCCTGCATGTCTAATTAGATGAGGGGTCTCGCCAATGTGTTCTGAAGTTTTTGACATCGTGGCTTTCCCTCTTAGGATTTGATATTTGTATTGAAGTATCTAGTAAAGAAGAACCAAGACCAGATTTCTCAAGGTGGTTTGAGAAATGGAGCTGAATCTTGAGGAACAGGAAACACTTTATTTCACAGTACACCTGAGAAAACAGAAGCACTCCGAGCCTGTAATGCATCTGGCACAAATCAGAAAACCAGATTATACCCTTTGATTCTGCCTGTATGATGCTCAGCACGGAGATAAGTTAACATCTCGTACTGTCTCTGGGGATCTTGGGGACTGTGGTGCAGTCAGGTTTAGAGACTACAACATAATTAATCAGATTTCCTACAATCTAAGAACCAGTGCTTCACCCCCTCCACTGGAAATGAAAACATACCAGTAAAATAAAGGTTTTAAAGACGTGCATATTTAAAAAAAAAAACAAAAAACCCCTCTTTTACTTTAATACTGCTATCAATATCCAACACAATGTCTGTGTTAGTTCTGGTAATAGCTATAATGGCATGGGTTGGCTGACAGGTTAACAGGAGTCATGCTGAAGTTTTAATGAGTACTTACACATGCATAAGCACACACATACACACCTAGTGTCAGTCCGCTGAGGTCTGTGTGGGTGGCTGATACACGACATTTTAAAAAAGTACAGAATTAATAATAATACACACTCAATGCAATCATCAAAGTTTTGCTTCATCTTGAGGGAGCAGAAATATAAACCAGCCGTGAATGTAATTTTTTCCCACTGAAAGTCACTTTGTAAATTGAAAGATTTAATTTTTTGCAGAAACAAGTCTCGTGGTTAACATAAGCTGCAAAACAAGTCCACGCAGTTAACCGATCATTAATAGTGAATTTAGAAAGAAAGAATGGAAGGTGATTTAAAGATGTTTGACATTCAGTTTTCTTTGTGCAAATGGGGCCCGCTGAGAGAAAATCGAAGAGGATTCTTTCCTCTCTTCTATCAAAGACCATTATATGAAACTACATCTTAACTAGCGTCGTTACTGCCACATTTTGATCAAACTTCAGTTGGACGTGGACAAGCTTCAATCAGCAGTGGAGGTTCTTTCATGTGGCTGAAGGCTGAGAGCAAAGGAATCTAAAAGGAGACATATTGCACC